ACGTACCTAACATTTTTTTTGCCTCCACGTCCAAGCTTATGAAATTTTTGTCTCTACGGAACTCTTCATATGGTATTAAACCATCTGATGTTTTCTGATTCAAGCTATGCATAAAAGCCTTTCTAGGGGGAAGTTTATTGTTGACAGTTACAAAGTTAAGTGTAGCTGTACCAAGGGAATTTCGTGCTACATTTGCTTTCCTAAGCATTTTCAACACCATGTTAGAAGCAGAATCAAGGTCCCCAAATTTCAGATGGCAATTAAGCAAGCAATTATAGAACTGTCTAAACTGGATATCAGTCAGGTTACAAGCTTCATCAACATGTCTCTGAAGATTCTTTAATTCTCCTCTTCGCCCATTTCTCTCATATATCTGTGCCATTATGATCAACAGGTTTGCATCAGCTCTGACACCAATTCGAGGCATCATGTCAAGGAGCTGCTCAGCTTTTCTGGTTGTTCCAAACAGCAGGCACCCAGCCAAAACAATGTTTAAAGCAGTCGTACTAGGTTTCATGGCAATTAAAGGTGCATTACTCTTTTTACGTGGATCCACTCTGCCATCTTGGAAGAAGTAGCCTATCTCAAGAATCAACTCAGCAGCAAGGTAAGCTCCTGGTCCTGTGAATGACATATGAGCCAATATTGCGGACCAGGCTGTCACAGGAGGATATTGCTCCATCTCTACCAACTTTCTTAAAACAGTGGATGAAGGAACGGGTAGACTGCATTTGGAAAGAGCAAGAGAGAGATAAAGAAGGGCCTCCTTCTCCAGCAAGTTCTGTTTACCCTCCTCAAAAGCACGTTCAACCAACATGTAAGCCTTCTCAAGCCACTGAACATCAAGGCTCTGGGAGAACCCTGTTAGAACATTGTTCACAACAGATTTTCGAGGAAAGCCATCCATTCCCATATGCTGTTCAAACAGCTTCCATGTAGCATCATATCTACCTCCATTAATAGCATCTTGAATTTCCATGTTCAGTTTAGCCCGGTCGCGAGCTTGGACCAAAATGGTCCCAGCCATGGCTGAAAAATATTGCATTTGATGAATAACTCTCCTCCAGACTCCTAAGCCAAAAGTGATCTTATTTAAATTTACTGATGAGAAGCCAGTGATCTCATACATCATATTATTT